CCAAACGAATGCGAAACCCAGTTTCGCAAAGTATCTCCGACCATCCCATGGATACTCAAATTTTCAGTAGAGATCGAAGATAGTCAACCAAGTTGAATTAGCTGATCGAGCTGACCTCGTCGACCCCGAGTCAATTAAACTTAATTGAGCAAGCCAGAAGATAACCTTAATGTAAGGCCATGCTTGTAAAATACTAGAAAGATTATAGTAGATACATCTTTCAAAGAAGAGTAAAAATATAATATCACTATTGTACTACAATCTCTATAAATAGAAAAAATATATTGAGAAGAATCAAAATTATTGAACACTATTCATTTATTGATTCGGCTTGTTTCAAAAATGTACATTGTTTGTTTTGTTTTTTATAACCTTAATATTCAGTTTTAATTTTCATTTAATCGAAAAAACCAAATTTAATTAAAAAAATCTTATTATATTTTAATTTCATATCGAACAAATTTAAAAATAAAAAAAAAAATTATTATATGCAACATTTGATTGAAATAATCATAAGATTCATTAAATTAAATTAATATTATACACATAAAATGTACAATTCATAAGATTTATTTATAGCAATACTCTCGTAAATAATTGTTTGTTCATAACAAAATTGTTTAAATCGAATTATATTTCAGTTCGGTTGGTTTGATTCTATTAAAATTTTAATTGTTTGGATTTTTCGGATTCAAAGTTTTCGTTGTAATTGATTTGAACAATTTGAAAACCGAGTATCCAAACCGAAGAAAATATTAGGTCAGGACTTTGGATTATTTGGAGTCCAATAAGTAGGTGCCACGTGTAAAGTAGACCCATCATAATACAGTGTGACACGTGTCACTCTCCTATAGAACTTCAGATGCATCCGAAGTTTTGACCTAATATTTTCTCTCCAAACCGGGTGAATGCTCATCCCTACCATTCAATTCTTACGTATTTACATATTTAACATCTAAATTTTAAATTTCATAACATCTAAATTTAATACATAAAAACATACATCTCACTTTTTAAAATTGAATATGATGAAATTTTTATTGTAATATAAAAAAAATAAACGATATAAATCTAAGGAGTTGAATTTAGTGGTAAGATATGCATGGAATTATGTAATATTTTGGTGTAGGCCCTGGAAAAAGGTATTTTTATGACAATTTACAGCAGCAAATGGAATGACAGACTGGGACAACCGAGCACAGCAGCCCGCACGGTGGAATTTCAAAGACTTGCGAGGAAAAAATAAATGAACATTTTGTTTTTAGCACCGGCATCATCATATACAATCCTGGCGGGCCTACTCATCCTGGGCTGCATTCAGGGGGTGTCAATGAACAACACGAGCAAGCCAAGGCGTTGGCTAATTTATATTTGGAACAAAAAAAAATATTCTTATTTGACACTTAAATATAATTAAATATATTTTTATTATATTTCTAATTAATTATAAATTTATGAAGCCTTGTACTAAATTACATTTTTGTAAAATATTACTCATCAATTACACACACGTAATTTGATACGCCATTAATAAATTTTCATTATTGGGCACTAATCATGAAGTATGACACGAATCTTGAGATAATATTTTGAGCGAAGAATGTTCAAACATTGATAAAAACTCATCAAGAACTTCGATTTCACTAAACTATATATATATATATATATATATATATATATGAATTTGATACGTCATTAATAAATTTTCATTATTGGGCACTAATCATGAAGTATGACACGAATCTTGAGATAATATTTTGAGCGAAGAATGTTCAAACATTGATAAAAACTCATCAAGAACTTCGATTTCACTAAACTTATGCTCAAACTGACTGACTCGATGAGACATAATTAATTGTATTAAAGTTAGTCAAATCCGAATCAAATCAAGCCCGAATCAAGTCTTCAAACCACTTTCGAAAGATTTATAGACATCTTTTGAAGGTCAAACTGTTACCAAAGCTTGCAAGTTTATAGTCGAAGCAAGCGTTTGAACAGGACGAATCCAACGAGCACAATATCACTCAATTCTGACATCATTAAAGCTTCCAAACGTCCATTAAACTCCGTTTGATTGAAAAAAGCTATATGGAGCGTTCGATCAAAATGATTCATATTCCTGCATTAATTTCACTCAAGACACTATAACTTATGGTCAAACTGACTGACTCGATGAGACAGAATTAATTGTATTAGTTAGTCAAATCTGAGTCAAATCAAGCCCGAATCAAGTCTTCAAACCACTTTCGAAAGATTTATAGACATCTTTTGAAGGTCAAACTGTTACCAAAGCTTGCAAGTTTATAGTCGAAGCAAGCGTTTGAACAGGACGAATCCAACGAGTACAATATCACTCAATTCTGACATCATTAAAGATTCCAAACGTCCATTAAACTCCGTTTGATTGAAGGAAGCTATCTGGAGCGTTCGATCAAAATGATTCATATTCCTGCATTAATTTCACTCAAGACACTATAAATAGTGCCCCACCCCTCACATGAGTGGGGAGAATTGAAGCTTTAAAGAGAATTGAAAACTCTGAGAAGGAGTTGAAGTTCAACACTATCCCGATCATCGTTGATCATCGCCATCGTTATCGACCACCGTCGACCGTCCTCGACACCCGTCAACTGTCTTCAACCGTCGTCGACCACCGCCTACCGTCGATCACTACCAATAATCATCAATCACCATCAACCAGATGACGTGGGACAAGAGCTAATCATTACGGTTCATGTGTCAACAACAACCTACATGATCATCAGCTCGTGTAGCTCCAGACTCCGGCCCCCGTGACCTACGGACATCATTCATACTCGCCCCAACTACCTACGCGACCATTGATACAACAAAATAATGTGTTATTTTAAGTATACATTTTATGCTTATTTTTGGTGATTTTGCTTTTTAAAGGGGTATTATCATATTTTTGTTCCAGGTGTATCATGTTTAGACATTTGTAGCAAAATTAGCAAAAAAAAAATGAAATTTGGAGCCAAAATAGCAAAATTTGTGAATATGACTCCTGAAGCGTCACTTTACAGAGAGCTGGCGCCTGAAACACCATTTTACAGAGAGGTGGCGCCTGATGCGCCGAATCGACACCTGAAGCTCCAGACCCAAAACAACGCGGACTTATGCAACTTGCGCCTGAGACGTAAGAAATGAATTTTTATGAATTAAGGCGATACAGAATGAATTTTGTGCTAAATTTTGAAGGGTCCACATGTTTCAAACGCCCCATGGAGTGATTCAATGCACCTAGATATGTTGGAAGACTCTTTGATGAAATGATATGTCTCTTGCATTAATAGACATGTCTTTTGGAATTCATGTCTTTTGGAATTCAAAATTTGGAATTCAAAAGGTTTGAATTTTGGAGGGAATTTTGAATTCTTTTTGGTGGGAGGAAACCTATAATAAACTAGAAGGAAGTCTAGGGATAAAAGAGAGGGCTAAAAGAGGTTCGGTGGTGGAGAGTGTGTGTGAGAGTGGAGGCGTGTAAGGTGTGTGCGAGAGAGAGAGAGAGAGAGTTAGAGAGAGAAAGTCAAGGACTTAGAGATTTTCTTCAAGAGTTGTAAGAGGAGTAAGAAAATGAGAGATTTCTCCTTCATTACATTTCCAAGAGAGAATTGAGAGTGCTTGTAAAGGGGGAAAATGCTTAAAGGGAATTTCTAGGGATTTGCTTGTGAAGGATTATAAGATACGTTGTCTTTTATTTTCTTGTTTTGTAAACTTATTTTATATATGAAATCTGTGTTTTGTCATATCATTCTCATGAATTCTGAGCAATCTTCTTTATCCTTCTACTTACTCCAAGATATGGTTTTGTGAAGAATTGATTTTGTTTTATACGGTTTTAAATGTCAAAAAATTGTGATGATTTGAACTTCGATCTTCATTTACTTGTCGATCTGACCAATTGAAATGTTAAAATGTATCGAGAAATATATGATCCGAAAGGACTATGATTTCTACATCATGGTGAGAGTCACTTTTAATTTCATGGGTGAGGATGTTATCCATAGGGTTGAGTGCAAATAAATAGGGAAATATAATTTTTTGGATGCAAATTTGGAGATTTTAAGGTGGCAGATTAAAATCCTCAATTTGGTTCAATTAATTGAAAATTAATGTAAGATTGTTAGCCCTCAGGCGATGGAGTAGTGGGAGCTCTGAAGTGAGAGCCGATATCCTCCCAACCTAACCACAGAATTGGGGACCAAACTCTAGATTAATCAATATTCTTTATGCATTTAAATAAGGGTAAAGAATATGATTGCTCCTATTTGACACAATACAATCTTATATATATTTTTAAATGATTTTAATTTCTTCGCCATCCATATGTTCATTGTAAAGAGGAATGATGTTTTTTTTTTTAAATTTTAACTCTTCGTCACAAAAATTTTGTTTAGTTTATAGAATTTTACTTTTGAAGTTTAGCAATTAGTTTAATTACTTAGTTCTTGTAACTGCATTTCATTTAACATACACTCAATTACTTCAGATTCGAATTTTGTACTTAAGTTTTGTAGTTTGAATTGTGTTTTACATTATAATCATAAGAATTTAGTCATAGGCATTTCCAACTTTTCTGTGGGATCGATACCTTAGACTCCATTATAGTCCTTTATTACTTGAGCGATACGTATATCTGCGTTATTATTACCTGATTGGCGTTTAAAGATTTTAAAAGATAAAATTATTTTTACT